GGACCCCAACTTGAGAACCGCACTTGCTGGGTTCGTTTAGAATTCGAAGGATCGCCAGGACAATTTGCTCAAGATGTTGCAAAGTAGACTTGATTTGCAAGTACAGCCATGTTTTTGCAGTGCAACTTGCGCGATGTCTTGATTTATAAGCATCGCTAAGGTCATTGCGGGCTTTGACATGACAGCCGAAGCTACGGCTCGAATCCAAGCTTCCCACAAAATCTAGGTCCTAGGTCTACAAGATTCAAGTGGTTTAGTTTGGTTTGCAGCAAATGCCCAAAGTAATGTGCATGGGTTGTGCTGCCCTGACAAAGATTTGTGATAGTCATTCATAGGCGACTGCAAAGCACTAACTACCACAGACCCGCAGTCATGAAACAGACCAGTCGTGGTTTTGGCGACACGTGGCTCAAGCTGCCTTGGGCCTTGGCTCATGGGACACAGTCTTCCTGCGGCTAGGTAGGTGGTCGCCTAGTTGAGCAGAGCCGCATTTTCAGAGCCCTGGCATTAGCATGGTAACCCGTTCACCAGTTCACCTTTGCTTTCGTTTGTTTTCACATGTGGATGTTTTTTGAAGGCACCCTGTGAACAAGTAGGAAGGCACCCTGGTCAGTCCGCTTTTGATGTAAGGCGGTGTCTAAAGGTTACTTGCACTTTCAACCTGTGGTGTTTGGGATACGAACACCAAGGCATGGGCTGTGCGGCTGCAGCTCCGGAACGTCCCCAAAGCGAGCAGCATCAAAGTCCAAAGGAGGCTCAAGCAGCGACACCTGGAGGTATCATCCCAAATGAGCCTCAAGACGTAGGAGCCTCCTACGAGATTTGGAATTGGCGTCACTTACCCAAAGGATGTGGTGGCCCACCCAATCGTCGATCTCACGAGAGGCATTTGAGAAAGCTCAACCATTTCTTATTGAGCATGGATGAGACGCCGTTGGCCCAAGAAGTGGGCCGGAAGCGAGATGCCTTGGATGAGGTTCCAACATCCCACTCTTCTCGCTGAGTGGGTGAAGGGTTCAAGCAGGACTGCTAACCCATCTGAGGAGCACAAAGGCTGAATGAAAGTGTCAAAGAACCGGCAAATCAGCCGATCTTTGACAAAACTAAACAACAGAGTGCATGTGTTGAGAAGGTCAACATGGTTGTATATGTTTGTTCTGCAACTAGAATGAATTACAAGGTTGGTTTCATTGAGACTGAATCTAAATCTCATCTCAAGGAGGCATCAGACCAGCTGGTTGAAACAGCCAAGATGATGTATAATATGTTCGAATGTACCCAATGTTGACTTCTGATTTATAAATGGCCCTTGAATAGTACTAATGTGTTTCAAAAACAATCTATAAATGGCCCCAAAATTATACTAACTTTTTCTGGACCCTGATTTAAATGTCCGTTCATTCCTCTTATTTCCTTTTATGTCCTTTCCTTTTCTTTCCTGTCATTTCCTTTATATAATGTCCTGTTATTTCAAATTCAAATCAAGATTTTTCTGGTATGTTTTCTGGATGTTACATTATTTTAGGGCCTGCACTTGATGAAGGGGGAGGGGGTGCTATTATTAAGAGGTGGACATTATATATACATGTGACATGTGTATCTCAACACAGCGCATGATAATGCAATATATATTGCCAACAAACGGCAAAAGAATGAGCTGAAACTTTAGAGAAGGGGAGCTCAACTAGAAATGGTTCAAGCTGAACTGCTTATACAAGCGTTGGAACCGTGTTATCCAAAGAATATCAATCGATGTTTGATGTTGCCGGGGCACGTTGATAATTAGGTGTGTATGACCTGCCTCAGAAGACCTCAATCAATATGAACGTCGCAAGATGGGGATGATAAAAGCAGATTACAAAACCAGTGAGCCTAAGCAAATACGTGTTGGTAATCATCCGACACTCGTTCCAAATGAGAAGTAGCCGCTTCGTAGCCAACTAATTCTCTTGTGCCCGGAAAGATGAGAATCTTCAAGGCAAGCTGTCATGATCCTTCGATTGCAAGTGTCTTTGGAGTTTGGGCATCCGCAAGATTCAGAGGAAGAATAGATGTCCAACCAAGGTTGAGACGTACTGGCAAGCCACAGACAGCAGATGTCAAAATGTTTACTTTATATATGACTTGTTTATGAAATATGTATTAATCCATGCATATGCTTCTTTACAGTGAACTGACCTGGAAAACCTGTTATGATGTGTTTTTTGGTTTTATATAATGATGTCCAGCTTCCGTCACCTCCCATCGCTATCTCAGGAGTCCCCGAATGAACTCCAAATGGCAGCCCAAATCCTTCCAACCATAAAGCTACCATTTTAATAATCAGTTCAAAAATGAAGAAAAAAAACACACGAACCGCTGTTACCTTAAAAAGAAACATAAATACAATTACAATTCATTAAAACACAAAATACATCCAACAAAAACACACGTTTTACATTTTAAAAAACTGATCCTTGGAATCAGCCCTTGGACTCGTTTAGTTCGTCATGAAACTAAGGCATCTTCGGTCCAACGAGTCTAAAGAGGTGAAACAACCCACTGATGCGTTCAACCCCCTAGAGATTGTTCGCATAGTTTGGTACTACTCCAGCACAATGTGTTGCGCTTCATTAACTATTCTCCCTTGAGCTGTACCAGCTTTCAGGGCCCTGTTTTGAGAGACGTAGCTTGCAGGATTTGTTGATCATGAAATCATAAGTTCTCCCTGGCAATGATTGTGAACTCTGTTGTGCTTTGCTGCGCAGAATTAGAGAAGGTCATGCCGCTCCGGATAAGGGTGCAGGCGTGCATGTCAGCCGGAGTTTGCGCACTGGTGCGCGAACCTTGTCCGACGGCTTTGTGCAGAAGATGGCTCACTCCATGCTTGAATGATTTGGCGTGGTGACGACAACAACGTCGTGCCGCTGCTAGTGTGATTAAGTTTAGGTATTGTATAGGTCGTGTCAACAGACCAATGCTGGATTGACTTAGATGTTGCAGGAGACCTCCAAATGACTTCTGTGATTTTCTGTGCCTGTCTCGGTCTGTCGTTTTGGGTGACACGCAGAGTCTTCGCTCATTAAAGAGAGCTTCACGATCTCGATCATGCGCAGAATCTCTCTTCAATTGGTTGAGAGTTTCGGCCGTGGCCAAAAAGCCCGTGCATGTCGAATCCGATTTACCACGAGGAAATCCAATGTCCATGCCGTTGGAACTGACAGCCAACCTTGGGCACAGCACTGACTGTTCTCGAAACTAATCTCCTGTAATATTGCATATACTGCATATCTATCATTTATCTATCAATATCCAACGAAGCTATTTTTAAGTTGGTTGTCAGCAGTTTCGGCGGAAGGATGTTAGGTGGCAGTTCTGGCGTTTTTGCCCTCGAAAAAAAAGCATTGCCTATGCCTGGATTCGCATAGATTCATTGGCATACTGTATCTATGCAGTTTTTTTGAATAGTTCCTTGGTTGAAGACCATGCATTGATTCACCATCCACCGACTCCGACGCCGTCAACGGGCAAGTCGTCGACAAAGGTCACCAAGCTCGCGTACCTTTTGTCCAGGGGCCTTTCACCTGCCGAGTGCAGAAAGGCCATTGGCTCATTCCGCTCATTCCTCGGCCTGAAAAGAGAAATTGAGCATTGAGGCCAGCATGAGTATTTATATCATTTTATGGTGTGCTTGTTCTAGGTCCATGAATTTCTGCCGGAGATCTTTTAAGCAGTTCGAGATGTTTGATGTTTCGAAGTGGTTAGGCTCATGTTCAGGTTGCCTGTGTGGCCAGGCAATGATGGAGAATCTTCGGGGCGAGATGTTCTCCCCGGCGAAGACTTTGGCCCCTTGGAGTGTGACGAAATATGAGTACAGTATCTATTGTACAAACCAAATAATAGCAAACGTGATCAAAAGTGTATATTAGGTTGGAGGCCATCGCTATTAGGTTGATGGCCATCGCCAGCAGGTTGGAGGCCATCGCTAGTAGGCCACCAGCAGCAGAGTCATGTGTCATGAATATTGTGTCATTCTTTCTCCCACACTGAAAAGCTGCCAAGCTCCCGTGGTTCAGGCTCTTACTGTAGGGATGCAAAAGGTACGAGATTAAAGCACCGATGTGTTTTCTGCATGGTCTCAGGATGTCTCATCCTCTTGGACGAATCTCCAGGCAATGCCCTACTGATCCCCAAGGCCGAAATCGGAAGAAAGGATGGATGATACAGTATGATACAGTCAGCTCCGGCAAGCAAAGCAAAGAGAAAGAAGAGACAGATGAAAATCCATGGATATGGGGTCATGTTGATCTGAAGGGGGTCCCCCACTCATTCAACTCCGCCACAGTCACATTCGCAAGCACGAAAATCAATGAATCATCGAGCGACAATGTACCACAAGGCACACGAGATGCCGGCTGATTAGTTTGGTCAGGAAGAACTGAATTGCACTCACACAATGCGGCACCTGCACCAATTCAAAGCACCTGATCGTGTTCGCTTCATCCTGGGTTGAGCTTTCAATATTTCTTGGTCTCAAAAGCTGATGCGGTTCTCCTGTTTGGCCGCAGGCTTCTCTGCTTGCGAGAACACTGCTTGTGGCGGTCTTTTGCGGCCAGCGACAAAATCATGAGAACAGTGCTTTGAGATGGGAGTCTGTCGACTCCTTTCAGGATGAAGATCTCCTTTCCTCCAATAGCTTGCTCAACAGTTTCATGTTTCCCAACTGAACCGATCAAGGAATCCCATATTCTGGGGCAAACTATATAGTTGGGGCTTGGCCATAAATAGAGCTCGTTGGAATGAGAAAGACATGCAAGCTAAACCGCGACCGCTCTACTTGCAAGCCACACCAAAGAGTGATTGGTTGAAATAGCAGGCTTATTGAATTGTCCAAGCCCATTCATTGGCGGCCGTTCAATCATACAATGAGTGTCCAAGACCTGCTCCACAGTCATAGGTGCTTGCCACCTACTTTCATGATAGGGGGGGTTGGCCCCAACCAGCATGGGACACTGCTTCAGGTGGTTCTGGACATGGCCGCAGCCCCTGGTGGCAAGACCACGTGACATAGCTGAATTCCAGTGTCAAGCCCTGATAGCATGTCTATACCGCGTGTGACACTGAATATGTTCCTCATGTATGTGTTTTTTTGCGATTTGGGGAATGCCTTCCAAAGCCAAGATGTCACTCCTAGCACGCTGTCCACCTTGCAAGTAGATGTAAATAGTTTTACAAATTGGATGGACTTTGCCTCAAAACATTTGAGAAGACGTCACCATGAGAAACCAATTCTCCGTGTCCTTCACGCAAACGATTCGAAGGAAGCAAGTCAACAGCAGATGCTTGCAGGAGTTTTACAGACATTCTAGGACCCTAGGACAAGTTCGGTGCTTGCATTCTGTTACACCCTCTCTATGGGGGGGAGCTATATCTTAATTGTGCATTGTCTAGTCTAGTGCTGATGAAAAGGCCGTCCTACCTTTTTACCTTGCAGGTACATTGGGCAGCTCATGCGCAATTCTGGCACTCTTTTTGCTAACGACCTACGGAAAGACAGGTGCAAGGCCAGCGTCAAATGTAAAGCCTCATGGTCACGCGTGGTCATCTGTTTAGTCACCCCCATGCGGTTGATGTTACTTCGGCTTTCAAGGGTCATGTTTCGCTTCTTGAGCTTATGGTCGGTTTTTGTTTGGATGGTCACCAGCTCCCCTTTTCCGAGCACCAGGTTGATGGAAGACTTTTGTTTTCTAATGAGGTGCCCTGCGGTGGTTTGATTCGCCCTACGGTGGCGACTGAGCTTTTTGTTTTTAGTGAGTTGTTTCGCACGATTTGTGGGCACTTCAATTTGAGTTTGGACTTCAGCCTGATGGCTCGTCCTCATCTTCGGATTTTCAGGAGGATCTCATGCATTCGTATGGGTTGGAGTGGCTCCATTGCTGCTAGGGTTACTGAGGACCTTTCTCGCTTCACATCCTCCTGGCCAGTCCGATTCTCTAGGGACTTGGCGCGACCTCGTTGAGGTATGGGGCGTCGCTAGGTGAGACATGGCCGCCTGACCTCTAGGCCACCATGTGCCGTTCGACTTCGTCGTCCGCGTGTGAATAAAAATAGTCACCCCCATGGTCCCCCGTTGCAGCGCAAAGCGCGGGACAGTGGGCACCGACCAGGCGCTGGTGGCCAATGTGCATCGCCTCGGCTTGACCAATGTGGTAGTGTCGGGGGCCACAGGTCTCGTGCACGTCGCTCGGAGGTTTTGTTTGGGATGAATGAAATGCAATTGCTTCCAAGGATCTCAGTGGGCACACTTGCTACATCTTGCACCAACCTATTCAATCTTTTTGGGAATTGGTTCCCACTGAAACCCAAGAGGGAAAACAGTTGACCTTTATTTCGCAGGGAAACCCAGCGAGTTGATACATACATATATAATATATGATGTATATCTGAATCCACTGTAAGACCTTCAAAGGCAAAGTTACACAAACGCAAGATATTGCCAGGACAAACTTGGATGGCAAGAAGCTGTCGAAGATGCTCCCACGACTTGACCGAGTGGCTGGGACTGGCGAGACTGCCAGCAGAATTTGTGAAGGAAAACAATGGAAAAGGTTCTTGTAGGTATGTCAACATATGTAAACAGTAAACATTGTGATGTGATGTGATGTGTTGGTACAATGCAGAAGCAAAGAACAGACCATCAAAAACGGGTTGCTCAGCGAAAAGGCAGGTATGGGCATCAATTGAAAAGGATAGAGATCATGTCAGGTCAGGTCTCTCGTTCGGAGATAGGGTTGTCTTTGTTGTACAAGGACTGCCCCACAAACAAGAATGTCGTTTGAATGTGGAAAAATGTATGTTGTTTTTCGGGGTGTCGTTTGTCGATGTTTGTAGCTTGACAGGGCCGCCATGAGGGGTCGATACCGGTGGATCTGAGGTGCTTCTAGATGCTCCCTGTACAGGCCGGAGTTTGCGCAGAGTAGGTCACTGAGGGACACAGTGTTCCTCAAAACAAAAAGCTGCAGGCACTGTAGAGATCTGTAGAGTACAGCTGTTGTGACATGGTGCTGTTGCATGTTGTTTTTTAAGTTTCGGCATCTCAGTGTCGCCAAAACGTATGCACACCTTCAGAAACCTTGAGAACTGTAGGCATGTGTGGGTTCAATAGCTATAACATGCTATAACTATAGCATACTATAGCTATAACTTTTCAGGGATGTGTTTGGCGAGTTATTCTTGCGAGGCAGTGGCATCATCGCTCGAGACCCTTCCGTCAAGGTAAAGCGCGGGCAGAAGGACTGGGTTGCGCCGGTCTTGCTGCCAGAACAGCACTGGCTCTGTTCAAACATGTTTTTGTGCTTCATCAAATCTTAGATCATCTTAGATTTCCTGGTATCAACTATGTTTGAAAGCAAAGGCATTGCTCCATGCGGCTCTTCTTGCGATTGCCTGCAAATACTAGTATTGCGTGACTCTTGTGTCGTCACAGGACTTTGAAAGTCACAGCCGTTTGCAGAAAGAGCTGCTCACGGCTGCTATTGATATGGTCGATGCAGGTGTGTGTATGTGTGTGTGGTGTGGCACTGTTTTTTCAAGAGGTGATTTGAGAGTGGTGCGTACGAACATTTACGAACTCTAGTCACAGTCTAGGGCCTGGCTAAGCTTTTCATGAGCTTTAGAGTTGTGTCCTTCAAAAAACAGGGCTGTCCAAATTGGCCTCTTCTGGTCTAGCGGGTGTCCCAGGCTCTAAAACCGGGGGCTACATCGTCTACTCCACCTGCTCAGTGGCCGTCGAAGAGAACGAGGCCCTTGCACGACACCATGCGAGCGTCCCAACAGACGGCATCCCAGCACTCAGCTGCAAAAAACTAGCAAATTGCAGATGGTCTTGTTATGTCTTGTTTATAGAATGCTTCCATGTGCGTAGAGTGATGTAATTCGGAAATCAGTTCCTTCCATGCAAGGTAGAGCTGATGTAGTGGCAACCATGTATCACACTCCTTTTGTTTGTTTCCGCTTACTGCCAGCTAGGGTACTCGTACAACTAAAGGGTGATGTGATTACGCCTGGCTTGACGGTGAACCGCAATCCTTCAACACACTCATCAGAAGCCGAGTCATCACTTCTGAAGCGGATGATTGCAGATGGTGAGGTGATTGCCATGACGGAATACACCACTTGTCGGATTCAACTCATTGGTTCACTCTTTGTTGCCTTCCATCCTCAATTTTGGGGATTTGCGATCCAGGCCGTGGTGGATCATGCCTTGAAGACCCGCAATGTGGAACTTGTCTCCTTCACCAGTGCTGTGAGCCAGGGGCTTGGAGCGGGATTGAGCTCATTGAGCCACCAGCCAACGATCCATGTATATATTATATTATTGGAAAGTAATATCCTAAGTACCCAGAGTGTCTATGTCATCCTATGTCTATTTATCAGTTCCTTTGGGCCAAAAAAAAAACATGTCGACTCAAATAAGCCGCATTTCGCTCGCACAACTGAGACTTCGGCGTGGAAGGGCTTTGCAAGTACCGCGAGCGTCGCTTCCACCCATCCCTGAACCTGGCGCGTCGATACTACCCTCACGTGCACAACATGGACCGATGCAAAGCAAAGCGGCATAAACTGCATTGATTACAATATCATACAATATCGTACCATCATGTTCAAGAAAATCAGCTGGTGTCAAGATGCACTTAGAACACGATTTGTCCACAGAACATTGAAGGTCCAGCTGGGCGTGGTGCAGTCTAGACTTCGGGGTTTCGGCTGGCCAAAGCTTGCAGGATGGTTTCTTTGTTGCAAAGCTCAAGAAGACCTCCAATAAGGTGCCGGGCACTTAGTCCTTTTTTAACTTTTGAGCACATTGGACGCGTTGAGACCTGAGACCAAAGAAGTACCGTTGAGACTTGAGGCCTGAGAGGGCAAAGAAGGATCGATCCAAGATGGAAGACAAGGTTTGGGGAGAGGCCAGACAGAGCTGACATCCACATGTAGACACTGTAGACATCGACGGTGTTGTTCTTGATTATGTTGTGTGTGTTTTTTAAAGCCCGCTCCCCCCCCTCCCTACTTAATTAAGTAGGCGCCTACTGAATTAAGTAAGGAATTGAGGTAGCTAGTAGCTTAAATAGCTACTAATTACTTAGGACGCAGGGGAGCTCGCGCTTGTTCAAGGAAGCTCCCCCGCCGCCCCAAAGGCTGCGGGGGAAGCTTCCTTGAAGAAGCGCTCGCACTAATTTTGGTTCCTAGATTTTTAGGGAAAAACTTAAGGTTGCAGCCACTACATGTTATGCATGGGACAATCCGAGGCTTGATCCACTCGCAGACAACCTCAGATGGAAAACTGTAGTGAGATCCATTATATATATATATATACAATAATGTACATATGATACAGGTGATTTAATGTTGGGAGCTGGGATCATCATCCGATACAGATGGCAGATGAATGTTGGACTGAGCATTCCTGACCAGCTCCGGCAGAGGAGCATTGGACCTCCGACTTCATGGATTCGGTGGTGGACTTTGAGGACAATTCCGTGAACAGGATCAGACTCAGTGGATACGCAGCACGAAAGATCTCTTGACCTTCTTTCAGAGATATGTTGCAATCAAAAGAGATCAAAGCCATTGGTGGCAGCTCCTACCTATTCATTAATATTGTGTATTCATTCACTTCCCTCCCTTTCCCGCCGTTGTTCCACATTGTTATGAGCCTAGTTGCGTTTCCCTGGAAGTGAGTAGCACTGCCACTGCGGTATTTCCACAGGCATCCACTATATACAGGGACATGCCGCTTTTGGCAGGAGAGCAATGGCTCCGCCGTGTGCGCCTCACACCTTGCTGCTCATATTACTGAGTCTACCTCTTCGGTGAGCACGGGTGCGTTTTAGGTCATTTAGCTCATGCATGAAGCCTGCTATCACCATGTGGCGTTGGTTTTTGTTGCGCCTCGAACAACCTTTGGGGTAGAGGACTGGCTTGCTTGGCTCAGTTTCCTTCCAAGGTCACCAAAAAGAAAAAGATGACGGCCCGTGACAGGAAGAAGCAAAGACGCAAGCTCCCTAGAACAAAAACACATTTCATAGAACCATATAAAACCAATCCAATCCGTTTTCTATGAAGCTATGGCTATGAAGCTTAGCAAGTGGTGTGTGCCGGTGTCGTCAGTCTATTGGCATTGGAGTTCAGTTCTTGTGTGAATTGCAACTCGCAAAATCTTGAGTGGCCCAAGTAAAATTGCCCGTAGGAACAAGAAGCTACTAGTAGTAACAAAGGGCATTGCTACTAAGAGCAAGGACCGTACTAGTAGCTCCTGGCCATGCTACTACGAACCAGAAGCTACTAGTAACAAAGGGCATCGCTACTAGGAGCAAGGACGCT